TTGGGCCAAATGAAGATGCAAAAGAAAAAATATATGTATTTGTTGTAGTTTCCAGTCACCACTATAGAAGTTCACCCAACTATGACGATTCCGCTTCTGAGGACCCCGGAAACGTGAAAAGGACTGATAAGACACCTGCTGATTTCAGCCTCTAGAGAACCACATCACCTGGTCAAACTACACAACCTCTACAACTACTAAAGAAGTGATAAACATAGAGCAACCACTCAAACAATCCCACATGAAAACTCAATGACAGAAACAGTGTGCAGCATCAGTATGATTAACGATATGGATGCGACGGCTGATCATGCAGAGTCTTACCTGTCGTTTGATGAAGCTGGAGGTGGTGTCAGAGGAGGTGCTGCCATCCGAGCGTTTAAAACGACCTTTGCGCTTCGGTAACTTTCGTGGTAGCTATATGGAGACGAGCAGATCAAAACAAACAGTAACATCAGACACAAGATGCCTTATAAATAAGATGCACTTTGTGGAAAATCCAGTTTATGATAATAGTTGTGTTTTGTAAACATGGTCTAAAATGCTCATTAATTGATTTTTAGCAGACTACACCATTTCCCAAAAGTCCTCTCGACCAACTTAAACTGGTATGACTAGCTAATATCCGGTTTGTTGCTGGTCATGATGGTCTACCAGCTAATGGCCATTTTATACAACTAATAGCCAACTCAGACCGGTTAGAAACCAGCCACCGTCGTCAAAAACACAGCTACTAGCTTATTCTGGTATTTCAGTCAGGGATAGGGCAGGTGGCCGTGAGACTTTGGTTGGCTACAGGTGAGACCCATGACTAGTGAGGGCTCGCCACAAGGGAATTTGGAGAGATTTTAAAGCCGTTTATCCACACACAGAAAACAAGTGTTCAGACTGATAAATAAACCCTGTGTCTTCAGATACCCGGCCTGAAGGACGAGGCCTTGGTTGCGGTGGGAAATCTCAGGGCGGAGGAAAAACAGGAATTGAGTTTCGCGGATGGTGGAGGAGCATCACAACATCTTATCCACATCTCGCCTCCGCTCATTAAAAACAACAGCGCGCGATGGATTAAAAGCGCGATAGAGGCGATGTTACACGGGCAGATTGTGTAGCTGTAGCGCTCTGCGGATATATGAAGCGCTTCGATGCACGACTGCTCAACAACAAGTAGCAGGAAATTAACCATTTATGAGATCATATTCAAATCCCCCAAAAATCTTACCTGAAAATAGTGCGACTGAGAAGCGCTTTCTACACCAGACAGAGGGTCTGCGGAAGATTTGGACATCTTTACTTGCACCATCTATTTGAGAGCGCAGGGAGGCGGATGCATGCATGCATGCATTGGTGCTTACTGGAAGAAACGGCGATGCCAAATACATATGCCTGCCGAGGAAGAAGAGGGTATCACGCTTGAACAGTGAAGCCTCTGTTTGAGCTGCGTACGCAGAGATCCTAAGATATATTCCCTCGCGCGGGTTATTATAAATGGAGATCGCAATACAGGTGTAGAAAACGCAAAGGGGCTGTTTCTTGTGCGTGCGCCTTTTGTAATGATGATGTGTCTCGCGCTACAGTGTGCTGCGTTCTCTCTCTCTCTCTCTCTCTCTC